TATTAAATCCAGACTTAAATCAATTTTCACCACTTTCAATCATTACGTCTTTCAACGCATTGTCAGTGTTGTTTGAGTCCAATTCATTATACAATGAGACCAATAAGCCATTTGTGCCCCAATACTACCCCTCGGAGTTTTTTGCCACCGGATATACAAATCTCGTCGGGTTCTCAAAATCGGGTCAACCCGTCTACGGTCAAGTGAGCCGTTGTATGCGTTTGACTAATAACAATGCTCTCGACATATTGTACAGGCAATTTATTGTGCACATCACCGCTGATTTTATTCGCAAAAATAAAAATGGCCTCATATATCACAGTTTCCTAAATACGACACTTGAAAATGTTGTATTATGTGAGCATGATTAAATACAGTCACATATATTGTGTTACAATTAATGTGCCTATTTCTTTTTTTCAAACATAATAGCTTCTGCTTACGATTTGGCTGTTATGGCTAATAAACATTCTAGAGATCAAACGGCTATTGTATACAATGAGGATCCGATATTTTCAACGTTAATTAATTTTGGTGTCCAATTTTTTAACCCTAATATTCGTAATCAAATCGGAATCAAATACATAGAAGACGAAGAGTTGCTTAGTCTGGATGAGGTGCCGGTCTATGCGGGCGGCAGAAACACCAGTTATCACAGAATACCAGCTCTGGTTAAAAGTGGCACATGTTTACCACATCTCAATATATCCAGAAGTGATTGGAATTTGTTTATTAACACTAATATCAAGTGTATTGAAGAGGGGAGACGTGAGAGTGGGGGTCAACCTATCGATCAGTATCTTAAGACTTGCAAAACTCAACCAAAGCCAAAACCAAACCCAAACAAAAAACAAATTAAAACCAAAATAAACCCAACAAAAAACAAACCAAAACCAAAACAAACCCAACAAAAAACAAAACCAAAACAAACCCAACAAAAAACAAACCCAAAAACAAACCCAAAAACAAACCCAAACAAAACCAAAACAAACCCAACAAAAAACAAAACCAAAACAAATCCAACAAAAAACAAACCCAAACAAAGCCAAAACAAACCCAACAAAATCAAAACAAACCCAACAAAAAACAAACCCAAAATCAAACCCAAAAACAAAATCCAAACCCAATACACCCCAACCTAAAAACTAACCAAAATAAAACCCACTAAATTTAAAACTAAAAACACCGAAAAATCAAAATTATAATTTTTTAATAACTTGTAAAAAATGATTGCTAACTTAATTAATAATAAAAATATATTTAATTATACATGTGTACAAAATTATGTTTTAAATTAGTTTTGATATTCTCAATAAGTGTCTCAATTACTTTTTCACTCTGTGTCACTCATTTAATGATAATGTTTAATACATAAATGTAATGGCATTTGTGATTAATGTTTAGAAATACCATAATACCATAATACACAAAAAATAATGTTTAGATAAAAACTTATTTTAATGATAAATGGGGTGTCATGTACAGTACATGATAGTTACAGTGCATAATTCTAAAGGAACTCCCTTTCAGTGATAGATAATTTTTTCGTACAAATCTTGGGAGTAGTGATTGGGGTCCGAGTCCTCCGAGTGGTGCCAATCATACCCGTGAGGACAACACTTGGTTCCCTCATATTATGGTTGGATTTTAACAGAGAAATGGTTTATTTTTTAAAACTAAATATTAAAGTATACAGTCATTGAGTAATGCTAATAGACCTGTTGGTAAGCAAATAGATTAAACATTACACTTTAATATCTACGAAATCAACCAAAATTGATTTCAAATCGATTTCAAACGGTTGCCCTAGATTTTGAAAATTTAATTGAAAAATCATAAAACAAGGTTATAATAACTAGTGTAATGGAGCAGCCGCCCTACCCCCTAAGTCACTATTTTATACTATTCCTGAACTATTGTATTATTTGTTAGTCGTCGACTCTCTTATCAGTCGTCGACATGTTATCTATTTGTTAATCTGTATTTTCCATAACTTAAACATTAGTTGTAATTCCTGTATATAAGACGTCGACTATACGACAAACTCTTCACTTGATTCTAGGCATTGGTGCCGTACAGTCGACTCTATTCTAAACATTGTTAAGTTTTGTAACTCTGTTATATTTTATTAAATCATTGTTTTTGTTAATCGGGTGTTATAAACGAGTTATTAGACGTCGACTCCCGTCGAGTCCAACAATACGAAAGTACGGTCGACGCGAGGGTAAGCGCCGGTCGATTCTTAGAGCTGTGGTCGGAGACTGAAACGATATCAACTACACCCCTCCTTCTACGGCTCCAGTAAATATAATGTTTATACTATGAATGTGCTCAACAACTATGACTCTATGTAAACCCATACAAGTTTACATAGTAAAAACTCTCCCAGAGCTCTCCTAGCACATTCTTAGTTTATACTATATACTTTATAGTAATTATTATACGTTATACTATTATATTAGTAAATATATTATAAAATACCAAATTTACCTTGTTAATAAAAATAAAATCACTTTTATTAGATGAGCTTTACACAATGATAATATGATATTATCTAAATTCACACAAATAATATGATGTACTGAACACAATTATTGTATATAATTATTGTATACAAAAATTCTAATCAAAATTATCAAATACATTGCATGTGCTATATTTGTCGGTTAAAATGATATATAATTCATTTGTTATAAAATATATTTACAAAACCACCATTATTAATAACAAATTAACCTTATACAATTAACATTTGTGCACTAAATTTACACTAAATTCAAACTAATAATCCTTCATTAATTCATTGAAATTATAGATAAAAATGGCATTTCTACATAAAATAGCAATTATAATTTAATTCCTAACAATAATATATAATCTACAATATAAACTCTCTCTCTCTCTCTCTCTCTCTCTCTCTCTCTCAGAATCTTCTGATACTTTCAAAAATATTTTGTCAATCATTTGAATAACAAAGAAGTGAAAAAATAATAAAACTAAATATTATATTACAATAAAAAATATCACAACTAAAACTTATTTTTGTTTACTTATCACAAGTTATCAAAAATATTTCATACGATATGTTGTTTTTATATAACTTCTTGTGTCAACATATGTCCAGACATTATGTCTCGACATTCAAACCTCGTATAACAAAACAAAAACAAGAATCACATTTTAAAATAAAATGTGTACCGCATTTATAATCATGAAATAAATTCCTGTGAATGTAATAACTTTTTTATATAGAATTTTGAGGGCAATGTTAAGCACAGAATATGATTCTCAACAATAAACAAATGGTATTGTAAAGTGGACAGCGGTCATGCAAATAATCTAGTTGTTTTAACATAACCATGTACTTTAGGATAGAGATCAACTAGATTAATTGGCAATTTCTGATAAATATATATATATAATTACCCTAAAAACCCACAGATACGCCCACCCGCGTATAAGCCGGATCATAAAATTTTAAAAGTAAAATGTTCCCACAGATAAGCCGGTACCTGTGTATAAGCCGAATTTAATATAACGTAGGTTTTGAAACGTAATTTTCGTGATATACTGGTTTAAGTTTTGAGTCTTATTAGTCATTGACTAGTCGTCTAATTCAGTTTCTGTTTTAGTTGTAATAATTGTAATCTAATGGCTTAAACACTTTTATAAACTCTTTTACTGCATATCATACTGTACATTATAGCTTTGGAAAAATTATCATATTCATTTCAGACAACGTGCCATGATCATTTTATAATTTTATGATCACTTTATATTTATAAATAATTTGGAAATATGAATTGAAAATTAATAATAAGAATTGTTAATATATATGCGGAACTATAGATAGGCTGAACCCATAGATAAGCTTTAAATTGATTGTATTTTGTAATGAAACTATCTTAATAAATATGATTATGTAAATTTTAAATCAAAATTGTTTTTAATTAACATATTTTATAATTAAATATGCCTATAAATAAGCTAAACCCACAGATAAGCCGATTCTCTAATTTTTTCATAAAATGCACTTTTTTCATCAGATAAGCCGCGGCGTATCTGTGGGTTTTTAGGGTAATGTGAAATTTTGTCATGAACCGTTTTGATACAAGAATTAACAAACATAAATAAGTAAATGTATCACATATTTATACTAGGTTTTTCTAATTCATAGTTAATTCATAATTTTAATTACAATTTTATAAAGGTTTTTATATTATCGTTTAAGTATTTAGTATATTTGACTAGTATTTAACACAAATAATAATACATATTTGATCTCTGGTACTCTGTACTTATATGATCCAAAGGATCTTGATCACAAACATATATAGATAACATCTATCACTTAAATTATTTAACATTAAATTTGTATATTTTATGTACATTTATAATAGACTAATAGATTAAAAATATTTGACAGAAAGTGTATTAGACTTTAAATGTGATTTGAAATTACGATATAAAACCATAGGATACAAGTGTAAAGTGAGTGGACGTGTAGTTAATTACCAGAATAAATGATTATATCAGATAAAATGATAAACATATACTTTGGATAAAAATACATTATTTAAAAATAAAGTTCTAGTTATAGATTAAAATAAGATTACAAACAACGGGACAAATATCAAATTGCCATAAACATAAAACCCAGTTACAAGTGGTTTGCACCGACATGTAATAACCCGATTGATGGCACAATGTTGATATTGATATTTAATGACCCTGCTCATTCAGCATAACTGATCTTCCATGAGGGGATTGTTTATTGCAATTGACAATCCGTTTGGACTATAAAGTAAAGTCTTTAGACAAGACTTTAGATAAAACAAAAATAATATATTTGCTGAACAACAACATATTTTTAAAACATATTTATCAAAAAAGTAATTAATACTAAATAATTCTTGAATGAGTCTAACAGTACTTTTACAACAGATTATCATTTGTTTGTTTGGTATAAAACACAACAAAATATTTGTTTTAAGACATAAATCTGAGTCGAGGATTGAATTGATCAGTCCTATGATTACTACGCTATTGTAGACTACATTACAAACTTTACATTATAAACAACGAGGGTGTTTTATATTTTGGTTAACTAAATATACTAATTGAGATTTACAAAACAAATTTACCATGAATTTCAATCCCGACTATTACAACGAGTTTACCGATTCATTACTTCCGGCTAATAAACTAATTGATAAATTGCAATATTTTTGCGATCATAATAACAATGGGTCAGTAATTAAACTTAATATTTATGTTTAATTATTTAACAGTATGGTTAATCATTAAATTAATTGATTAGAAATATGAGCATAATATTGGACATCGGATGCGGGACGGGATCGACAACTAAACTGCTAACGGGTCTTAACTGCGAGCGCATAATCGGCTGCGATATCGACCCCAAAATGATTGGTTTCGCTCAACAACACAACAAAACGCCGCAAATTGATTACTTGGTCCAGGATTTTGGTCTCCCGTGGCATCAATTGGACGATCGACTCCGACGACTGGCCGGCAGAGTGTCGGCCGTATTCACCAACTATGCCATGGCTTGGATTTGGGACAAACAGAGCGCCGCCCAGAACATTGCCAAACTTCTGGCGCCGGGCGGTCTGTTTGTGGCTAATATCCTATACGACGGCGATATCGCTCAGTGTCTGCCAAAACCGGAGCGTCAGAAGTGCTACGAACTGATCCCATACCCGACTGAACACGACTTTATAGGCGGTTGGATAATGTCGCTGAAAAATGCCGGCCTCAGCAAAATTGACATCGATTACTGGGAACCCACTATTGTTATGTCCGAACAGTTATATCTAAATGGTATGATTGTTGTTCTGGCTTTAAGTATTGTTTTAATTATATTTTAATTTGTTTTTTTGTGTAAATGTTTTAATACAATATACAGAATATATTGAAATACCGATGAATTGGTTTAAACACTACTATAATAACGGCCGTAATCAAGACGTGGATAATTTGCTCAAGAAATTGATTTATGATGAAAGATGCAGACCTGTTGACCAACTGTCCACTGATGGCCACAAACAGATCGAGATTATCAATAGGTATGACATAAATATTTGTAAATATAATTATTTAATTATACCATAACTTGTATCTCATTTTATGTTTGCATAGATTGTGGCAAATTGTGGCTCAAAAACATGTATAAAATGAAAATCTAATTATTGTTTACGATTTTCAAACATTTTTATTATATTTTTTCTCATTTATTATTTTATTTTTCATGTAATTATTATTTAAATATTTACAGCAATTTTTAAGTGTCTTTTCCAGTGTTTATAATGAATTAAAATTTGTTTATTATTCCTATTATTTTTTATTATATTTTCTATTTATATAACAGATTTTGATAATAATTATATAAATACAAAACAAGTCATAAAATTATTTTATCTTTTTCTGTGTTTAATTAATAATTATATTTAATTATAATTATAAAACTTTATATAACTTAATAAATCATATAATATTTGTAATATAATCAACAGTTAATTTGTTTTTAGTTAATAAAATATTTTTATGATTGCTATCAAAGGATTGTATAATGTTTTTAATTGTCAGGAATAATAATAATAATTTTAACAACAAAAACTCATTTAAAACAACCATTCATTAAAAATCTCTTTTATAGTAAATAGTAAAAGGAATTTCTTATTGTATGTCTATATATTGTGTACGGAATATTCTATACAATAAAACACTAACCATTGGTTTCTAAAAAATGAATTTATTTAAAAATGTTTTACAAATTCAATGGATTTTTGTACTAATAATTAATTAAACGCTTTTTAATGATATGTCTCTACGATTAAAAACTAAATCCAATTTACAATATAATAGTGAATGAGAAATACATATCTATTATCCAAACATAATATTCAAACAATAATAAAAATAAAATATAAAAATAAATAACAATTGTTTCTCACTTTTAAATATATACACAGAATTAAACAATAAATATATAACCAACAGAATAACCATCGTTTCAATAAAAATCAAATCTCATACCACGTACAAAGATCCTGGATAACTTACTACCAGTACAACTGAAATACCCCAAAGGGGTGCGCGAAAGCAAAACTAAGTAACTATAACTTATTGTCTATAAGTTAACTTCAGTACAACTAGTATTAGCGGAGATATCCTTATCATTATTATTATGGTTGGCGCCCAAGCCGTCAATCCTAATGTATTGCTGGCCATTGGTCTGAATGCAGAGACCGGTATCGGTAGAGCCGTTGACCGTATTGGCGGTCAGGGGTTCGGCGCTGACATCAGTGGTGACGAGGAGTACGGCGCTGGCGGTGTTAGGGCCGCCGATGACACCGCCGGTAGTGCCGTAATCGTGCCGTACAATTGATTGTCATGTGATAGAGTCGGCCATTGATTCGCAATAGTTGTCTAAACGCCTGGTGGGCGCCGCTCTCAGGAATATATACCGGGCTAACAGCGATAGTAGTAACGACTCAAATAGCAGCAAGGTGTTTCGCAGATCTAGATCAATTTATATAAAGTTAGTTTTAAACAAATTTACTGTCATTTAGATAATAAATTAATACTAATAATTTAAATTCAATGATAATAATAATCATACTTTTACTATACTTTATACTAATCATATGTTTACTACTTTCTATGGTCTATAATAGATGTAATGACAACAATAAACATTATATTACAGCAAAACGAAATGAAATATACGGCTTAAATGGTGTGGAAAATAAGTTTTTCTGTGTGTTATTATTATTTTCACTGAGATTTTAGCTTAACGTTATGTTTGTGCGGTTCGATGCGTTTGGACAGTATATATCGACGGCACCGGGTATTGAGTGTTTTATGTATTTTAATCATAAATCTCATACAAGTCTCACATAATATTCGCATAAAACTAATCGGAAATCGGAGAGAGATTTCCATAAATTTTAAATTTTTACCTCAAAAACACATTTATTTAAAATACAGAGCGATTTGTTTTATGACTTTCTCTCTCTCGTGAATATATAATCCAACAAAAGGTTGGGTGGATTGGGAGGTATTGTGCAAAACATGTATTATAATAATATGTGAAATATATATTCATTTAAACAATATTATTATATACAGTACTAAAGGCATGAAATTTATTCAAAATACTTCTCATAATTGTAAATAATATTTCTCATTGAATACTATTGTCTTCATAAACGACAATAAACTATTGAAATGACTTTTACTTTTGTTTAATATATTTGATACGAAATTCTGGCAAAAGATTAATAACTTTTGCACTTATTTTTCTGCCTCTTTTGCAATGAGAAAGTCTTGAATTTAATCATTAATTATAATACGAAACAAAATAAAAAACAATTCCTGTGCTATATTTGTTGTTAACAAATTTAAAACAATTAATCCTCTCTCTCTCTCTCTCTCTCTCTCTCTCTCATGTAATCAATATATTGAATGAATTATTACGTAAAATAAAGTTTTAAATAAAATATTTTAAATCTAAAAAGTGACGCCTTTATAACATGCAGATAGCGATAATTGTATGTCATATAAGAGCTCATTATATCACTATTTAAATAATAAAAGTGCCGACAATTCTCATTACTTCCACATTCACTAACTCACTCTCTCACTGAGTTATATCGACTCTAGAATATTCTATATAAATATATAACACCGTATATAACAAACAGAATATTCTGTACACTTATTCTCTACTCATTGGATAGCATTATAATGAATAAACGAGTTCTCGCTTACAGTACTAAACGTATAGGAATTTTTGCGATAAGAAGTTTACTCCCGAAGAATCTAATGGATCACAGAATTTGAAGGTTATTATGAAGAGCGCTATTATTGTGTGATTATAGGCACAGAATCAATACATAATTGGCTTTTCGTATATCAGATTCTCTATGCATTCTGTTATATATATAAAGTATATTCTGAAATATATTTCCCTTTTAATAAATATAAATTGTGTGGACTTTTATATCTATGTATTGATTATTTTGTATTGAATTTTATGTTATACTGTATCTAGTTTTGTATGGTTTTAGTGTATCTTTAGTTGCCATTGATTTAAAAATGATAAATTTATTTTTAATTCATTATAATTGTCGACTAAAAGCAATTAAATAGTTTTAATAGAAACGTTTCGCTCATTAAACAGACATTTGTTAAAAATTATTTTGTATTTTTCAACAAAAAAAACTTAATTCATTTCTAACTAATGATGTAATTAATTGTGTAATTATAGCAAAATTTTAGTCTCAAATAAAATTTCTAAATTTAAAGTCTTGTATGTATTTTATATAAAAAATAACACTTAAATACTTTATATATAGAGACATATTTTGTGAGTGTTTTCGTCGGATACTTAACAAACTGGTGGACCGTAAGTATGATATATCGACGGCAATGAAAAAAGTCTTACAATCAATAAAATTGGCATTAATTGCATACAAAAAGGGCAGAAAAATCAAAGATTTATATCACAGATATATACAGTGTATATAAAAAGAAATTGATTTTCAATTCTTGTTAAATATATTTTTGTGAACAGAAAATACGGCACAAAAATGAGTGCAATCTTTATTGCAATGATAATGAAATCAATTGATGAAATCATCCGTTCATTTGAGTTGTCTGTTATATACATCTCTATAGATATACAGTATAATTGTCTTACAGATCATAAAATAGGGTCACTTTTTCTCGGAAACAAATGCATGATTTGTTCCGTCACATCGTGTACGCAATCACTTCATTAAAACTTCAGTATATATGTTATATAACTTACAAAAAAAAGTTATAACAAAAGACAAATATAAGGGGAATAACTATTACATATAAAATTTAGTGCAATTTTCTCGGAATAATACCCGAGAAATAAATTGAAAATCGTTGTATTTTTCTAATTAAATACAGTACTCGAAGATAAGTTACCATTTTATTATTAAATGACAATTATTTGTTAGCGAAAAAACAATTAGTTTGAGAGACGAGAGAGAAAGAGGCAAAACAAATGGTTAAACAATTAACTGAAATTGCATTGAAAATATCTGCTGTACTCTCAGATGTGCTCTGATTTTTCAAACCAAATACTATACACAAAGACAGAGAAAAAACTCAAACTAACATTAAATGACAAAAATCATTATTTAAATTATTTATTACAAACATGAATCTGTATGGGCGCACAAAAAGCACTAGATTAATTCACATAACACATGAATAGATATATTATATAATACATGCTACATAATAAATACACACTGTATGTAAATCACTCACATAATCCGTAGACAAACGATGAGATGGGGGGCCGACAGGGCAGGTAGTCATTGGTGCCCAGGGCGTCAAAAATGAGCACGTGAAATCTGGTGATTACGAAATACATTTGCAATATGTAGTATTTGCTGCGAATATAGTATCCGGGTAATAATGTTTGGGTCATCTTATAGTAGATCTCCAGCGAATAGATGCCAATGCAAAAGGACAGTCCGCCCAACACCAGGATATAAATGGCCGCGTTTTCAAACGAAAACTATTAAACCATATATACATTTGTATTAGTAAATTGTCATCCATTACATACTTATTATATGGCTATTTGTATGCTTATTAGATTTGGTAATAAATACAATTTAATGCAATCAACATTTATATAATGTACTCCATAAACAGTACTGTCTAATACACAACATAGTATTAAACACAATGAAAAAACATATTACACAACCTTGTATTACATACATGTATTTCTGGACATCATAAATACCAATAATAAATATAATGAGTTATTATCAGTAACTTATTATTAATAGCTAAATGAGAAGTTATGACTAAATGATCAAAATATTAATAATAAATAGGAAATTAACTGAACATTAATAGGAAATTTACAGATGGAAATATTGTGTAAAACATGACCCACCTTCATTTTAAAAATATTTATAAAATTATTAAGTAAGATTATTTAAGTAAAATAAATTACAAAAATATAAGTTTAAAATTTAAACTATAGATTACTGTCAGATGATTGATTGAGTTAACTATTTATTAGGGTTTGGCTTTCAATTAAGTAAATGCATGCGATTTATTGATATATCAAAAGTATGGTTTCTTCTGTAATTATATACAAAATGAATGCATTAATGTAATAACGGATAATACTATACACACAACACATTATATGATTTGGCAAAGTGTATGCTAATAATCAAACAACGTTAAAATAAACACCCGCTTATTATCTAATACTGGAAATCTATTACATTTTTCACAGAATATTCTATACTTTTCACAGAATATTCTGTCGGGAAACCAAAAAATTGATTAAATATCTAAGAATTTCATAAAGGCATAGGAATTGAGCGTAACTTTCCATCAATTTCTCGGCAGGAAATTGATGTTTATTTTGAAACTTCAATGACAGGTATATTATAAGGTATAAGATGTGAGGGAAATATGAAATACATTTTTTTGTTGTGACAATTTTCATTGTATATTCCTATGCCATAAACCGCACGACACGACACAACATAACATACACGACATTCATTAATATTACGGCACATCAGACATAAACACATCAATTAATTTATGACAAAAACAACAAAATTAAATTACAATCAAACAAAAAATAAAACACAAAACAATACACACATACGTAATACTTATATTAATAATTAGTAATCATGGTGAATGCATACCTGGCCGGCCACGTAGACACCTGTCTTGCTGGCCACCCCCATAGCGAAGTATAGAAAACACGGGGCCATAAATAATTGATAGATACAGGCTTTCATCAAGTAATATAAGTTCCTATATATCGGATGCGAGAGAGAGAGAGAGAGAGATAGAGAGAGAGAGAGAGAGAGAGAGAGAGAGAGATCTCTTTCTCTCTCTCTCTCAATGTTTTACCATCTATTTTAATATTTTAGTTATTTTTTCTTTCAATTCTTTGTTTATATACTATTTTTTCAATACATGTTTGATTGCTGTTGTGAAACGTGTGTTAAATATATTATTATATCGTGTATACAATAATAGCAAAAATAATAATAATAACTATTTCTTTGAGCAAATTTACTTTGAATACAAATTATATACAATTCTTAGTTATTTTTATGATTATGTTTTAACGTTTTGTGTTTTGTTTGAATAACAAATATAACAGAAATTGCATATAAAGTATAGACACATACATACCGTACATATTGTAGTGTTTATATACTTTACACACAATTTCACTGTATTTTATACACACTTCATGTGTTTTAGCATTTAATGTATATTATGTTTGATAATAATATTGATTATATATATATGTTATGCACTTTATTTTTTGTTGTTGTCAACGTGTATAACACAGAATATTCTGTGTTTTTTGTATTGCATATAATAAGTGTTTCAATGATTACAATAATGAGTGTTTTGATGTATTTTCCCAACACATGTCATACACTTATAAATATAATATTTGATATGATATTTATTGTCGGTTATTATTTTGCCAGAATATTCTGTTGCTATTAATTAATGTGTTTTTTCTCTCTCTTTCTTATATTTTTTCTATTCATTCAATTTATCCAATCTTTTCTATTTGTCGTTTAAATTAATGTATTTTTAGGAAAAGACTATTAATATGTGCGAAAAAATAGCAGTCAATTGACAATTACGAGAGAAAACAATCACTCAAACGAACAGCGAATAAATGCTCAAGATACTTTATTTGGCAGAACTTATTCATCATCAATATTTAAAAGTTAATTAAAAGTTTTAATCATAAATAATAACTATAATTATTGAAAGAACTCACTATTAATGCTCAACCATTGAAAGTATGTACAACTCGTAAATACATAATCTGATGGCAAATATATTAATATTGCACTCAAAGACATTATCCATTGGCGGACAGCAATCGTATGACAATTTAAACGGCACTTCAAACTCAATGCAAAAGATATATACGTTTGGCGTTTGAAGTGATTTTTTTCATTGAAGAGTGGGATATATTAAATAAGAGAAAGATTTAATCACAAAAATCATCTCAAGAATTGTTGACCAAAATTTATATCAATATTTTGTCAAACATTGCGCTAATAATACATAACGAGAATAAAAGTGAGAGTATTATCTCAACGACACAAACATATCATCAAATGTTGTATGAATTGGCCATAAACTACAGTCGCCTCAATTGCAATGAACTCGTGTCCATTCAGTACATACCGACCCTTCCGATGGTCCTCACGGGTATGTACAGTAGTTTGTTATCATTTCCACCCTGGAGGTTTTGTTTAATCTTATTTATTTAGGATCTATATGAATATTTAATTTCTATTAAAGTGTAAAATTCTCAATATTTATATTTTAATCTCTAAATACTTTATTGCTATTTAAATGTTTGTTATATTTTTTATTAGATTCTTGAATAGTTTATGAAATGTTTTATTTACTAATATTATTCTTAATGTTATACAAATAATAATTATTTATAATACTTATAAAAATATTATAGCCTTATAATCGTAATTATAATAATGAGAACATTAGTTGTTTCCCTACTTATAATGTATAAATTTCACGGAATATTCTGTTATTTCTAATATTGTTTTTAATGTCAACTAATGTTTGAATTGTTAAAGTAATACATTAAAGATTGTGAAAAATTTGTTTTATATATTTTTCTATTTGTTTTATCTGTTTTGTGATTCGTCTATAGTTTCAGACATGAAAATAAATTGAAAAACTTTTTTTGTTGTGTTTTTTCTGCTTATTTTGATGTCAAACACAGTCTATATTTATATATAATATTATTCTTTGATTTCATTTCACATTTTTTGTCAATTCCCTATCAGTTGTTATAGTTTTTTGGCAAACATTTACTTTTTAAATATAAAAAATATACAATAACTGCAAAAATGATTCAATACACAAACACTATGTGTTTGTATATATAAATAATGTATTAGTTTTTCCACTCATCGGGTATTTAATCAGAAAAATTTATTTTTACACAAATATTTTCACTTTTCTATTAATACCAAACATATAATGAAAGAGATATTTTTTATATTGAATTACAAATATAAATAGCATTTGTTAATAGATTCCCATCGATGAAAAAGTTACTAAAAATACTCGTTTTATATTTACATTGATTTGTATATAAATGAATTGCAATTTCAATGAATATATAATTTTTTGACTGAATATTTACATTGATTGTACAGAAATGGGACAATTGGGCACATTTTTGATAGCTATCAGCGGTATTGTGACGATAATAATCGGTTTGATATTCATCGAGGGGTCGGTCCGACTGTACCGAAACTGGCCGTTAAAGTCCTACTGTATAGCAGTGGCCACTATCGCAGTCTTCCCGGTAATTATCAACGCTTATCATATATTTTGAAATTATTTTCGTGTAAAAATTGTTTTATAAATTGTTTTTTAAAACTCAAATACTGTGTGATTGATATACACATTATGTTATATGCTGTACAGTACGTACCGGTGCTTTATCTAAACCATTAAATTAATGGCTCGTTTATAATATTTAGTTAAATAGTTTTTACATAATTTATTCTTGAGATACAGTATTATATACGTGTATGCAGTATATGAAAAGTACATAGTATTTTTGTAATTAAATTAATTTATTATTAAAAACTGTTTTCCCATTAAAATACTGAATGAATGTACGAAATGAATGGACAGTAGATATAAAAGACCAACACTAATTATCATTACATATAAAATGGTTGTTTAGCGGTATTAATAAAAATAAAAATACAAAGCTTTTTGTTATTGCCATCAAACCTGACCGTAAAGTTAGTATATAAACCCCTATACCTGTCTCCCGGTGCGCATAATTATAAAGTTAAATCGTTGAAATATCCAACAACACCATGGTAATTCCCGTTTGTATTGAGATTTTGCTGATTTATTTAGTATAGTATTTAATAATTCCTAATAAATAGATAGTAATTCCCAACAAAACAATGCCTTCATTGTTTTTTGTTGTCTAGAAAATCATTTATTTAAAACAAAAAGCAATCATTTACTGGTATTAACGCTAATCTCCGTATATATTATGCAGATTTTCATACATATTGTAAACATATTTATTTATGGATTTATTTGTTCACAATATGTTTAGTAACATCATATGATTTTACATTAAATATTAATTAGATTTTATTTGAATTTCAATACATAAATGTATTATTAATTGTTATAATCAGATAAAACAGTTTAAAAATATATTTACCAAGACATTTAACTAGATTTTTATGTGTGCATAAATCATAGCATTTGATTGAAATATAAATATTTAAATTTATTTGTTAACAATGAAGGAGAGAGAGAGAGAGAGAGAGAGAGAGAGAGAATTAATGAAAGAAAAACATACGAGATATAAATTTCTATATAAAAAAGTAAGTGATGTTATAATAAGTGTATTAAAACGCTCATTGAATGTGTATTTTCCAAACGTATATAAGACTTAATCCTATCAGCGATTTTGTTTGCACTCTATTTCCTTTCGTTACAGACTTCGCAAGAAATGAAGGTATAGTTTACACACATTTCTACGAAGTAAATAGCATTCACTTTCTTTTTCTAATGTAGTTTCTTATCGTCAGTACATTATATGCGACAATAAATTTGTTATTAAGTTATTTTTTGGTGGAATTTCAAAGTCATTCATCAAATTGAATAAAAAATAGATTAAAAAAAGTTGTGGAAATTGGATATAAAGTGAATATAAAATGTGCGATATTTTTTGGTTTAGATTTTAATTAATCTCTAATCGATTTCAAAACTTATTAAATATTTTTTAAAATTGAATTTAAATATAATTTTCTTAATATACAATAATATAGTAATAATATGACCTAGATATTTTAACCATAAAACCCCAGCTAACTCTAACCTACTCTAGTCATAAAAGTATTGTCATACATTCTCATAGGATTATTATTGATTCAAATGTAATTACAGATGTATACTATTTGTTTTCTATCTCGTGCAGATATCTCACTATATAAACTAAGCCTAGTGTTTAATTAAGACAATGTTATTGTTTTCAATGATGTATATAATTAAATGCATTACTTATTCATATAAGTGGTGGGAAGACAAATACAGAGCGCATAAAAAGGCGGTCCTTTCAATGGCATGAGTTGTCCGTCTAATGTCTGTTCGAGGGCTCCTTCGCGGCCGAAATAACTGATCACTAGTTTGTAAAACAGGACTAAACTTAACGGTTGGTATAGAGTGGCGGTTGTGGTGTTCACGTCGTGGGCTCTCGGCATCAGTATTGACAACAGAAAACATAGCGATGCGATCTATCAATCAAATTATACATAGATGTTAGAGAGAGAGAGAGAGAGAGAGAGAGAGAGAGAATTGAAAAGGGCAAATACCAGAAACTATTACATCAGAAAATCCAATCGTAAAATCATTTGTATATTTGATTACAATTTAATGAGTTAATCCAATTTAGCATAAGGCAAATACGTACAACACAAGGAAACTGTAACCATCAGCAGTTAGTTATACAGTAAACCGTATAATTCACTTGTGATATCAAATCCTAATTAAAGCCTTAATCCGTACTTTTTTATATAAATAAAAACACATAATACTATCTCTTCCTCAATGAATGAATGAATGATTGAATGACTGACTGAACAAATGGTCCGACAAAATGGTCCCGATTATACAAAAAAAATGCAGCAAAAACCTCCTAGATTAATCTACTGTCAATAAGCACTAATGTGTTTCTTCAATCTCTCTCTCTCTCTCTCTCTCTCTCTCTCTCTCTCTCATTGTTAACAAATAAATTTAAATATTTATATTTCAATCAAATGCTATGATTTATGCACAAATAAAAATCCAGTTAAATGTCTTGGTAAATATATTTTAAACTGTTTTATCTGATTAACAATTAATAATACATTTATGTATTGAAATTCAAATAAAATCTAATTAATATTTAATGTAAAATCATATGATGTTACCATGGTGTTACTAAACATATTGTGAACAAATAAATCCATAAATAAATATGTTTACAATATGTATGAAAATCTGCATAATATATACGGAGATTAGCGTTAATACCAGTAAATGATTGCTTTTTGTTTTAAATAAATGATTTTCTAGACAACAAAAAACAATGAAAGCATTGTTTTGCTGGGAATTACTATCTATTTATTAGGAATTATGAAATACTATACTAAATAAATCAGCAAAATCTCAATACAAACGGGAATTACCATGGTGTTGTTGGATATTTCAGCGATTTAACTTTATAATTATGCGCACCGGGAGACAGGTATAGGGGTTTATATACTGTACTAACTTTACGGTCAGGTTTGATGGCAATAACAAAAAGCTTTGTATTTTTATTTTTATTAATACCGCTAAACAACCATTTTATATGTAATGATCATTAGTGTTGGTCTTTTATATCTACTGTCCATTCATTTCATACATTCATTTAGTATTTTAATGACTTTTGTCAAAAATTATTATTTAATTAAATTAATGTTTTTATGATACATGAAAAGTATATGACGTATGTGCATATATTATGACATAGAGTTCTTATTTAATACATTTTTGATAAATTGATTTATAATTAAACGAGCCATTAATTTAATGGTTTAGATAAAGCACCGGTACGTACTGTACAGCATATAACATAATGTGTACAGTATATCAATCACACAGATAAACTCAAAATTTTTTGTTAAATATTTTGTTAAAAATGTGCTTTTATTAAAGTTTTATATACTATTCGCAACTATTAATGGCCCTTCTGACGCTATCACCGGTGACGATATGTCATCCTGAAATTTGGCCAATTTCGGTACAGTCGGACCGACCCCTCGATGAATATCAAACCGATTATTATCGTCACAATACCGCTGATGGCTATCAAAAATGTGCCCAATTGTCCCATTTCTGTACATTCAGTGTATATATTAAGTCAAAAAATTATATATTCATTGAAACTGCAATTCATTTATATACAAATCAATGTAAATATAAAGCGAGTATTTTTAGTAACTTTTTCATCGATGGGAATCTATTAACAAATGCTATTTATATTTGTAATTCAATATAAAAAAATATCTCTTTCATTATATGTTTGGTATTAATAGAAAAGTGAAAATATTTGTGTAAAAATAAATTTTTCTGATTAAATACCCGATGAGTGGAAAAACTAATACATTATTTATATATACAAACAAAAAAAATATCTCTTTCATTATATGTTTGGTATTAATAGAAAAGTGAAAATATTTGTGTAAAAATAAATTTTTCTGATTAAATACCCGATGAGTGGAAAAACTAATACATATAAATATATATGTTTGTGTATCACAAACACATAACTTAGTAAAAACGTCAATAACATATAAAAAATATAAATTTTTCATTTACAAACGGTTTTTTGATATTGTTGACTATCCCTTAACTGTTTTTTATGTGAAATGAAATCAAAGAATAATATTATATATAAATATAGACTGTGTTTGACATCAAAATAAGCAAAAAAAACACAACAAAAAAAGTTTTTCAATTTATTTTCTGTCTGAAACTATAGACGAATCACAAAACAGATAAAACAAATTTTTTCACAATCTTTAATGTATTACTTTAACAATTCAAACATTAGTTGACATCAAAACAATATTAGAAATAACAGAATATTCCGTGAAATTTACACATTATAAGTAGGGAAACAACTAATGTTCTCATTATTATAATTACGATTATAAGGCTATAATATTTTTATAAGTATTATAAATAGTTATTATTTGTATAACATTAAGAATAATATTAGTAAATAAAACATTTCATAAACGATTCAAGAATCTAATAAAAAATATAACAAACATTTAAATAGCAATAAAGTATTTAGAGATTAAAATATAAATACTGAAAATTTTAAATTTTAATAGAAATTAAATATTTATATAGATCCTAAATAAATAAGATTAAACAAAACGTCCAGGGTGGAAATTATAACAAAACTACTGTACATACCCGTGAGGACCATCGGTAGGGTCGGTATCATGACTTACCTGTGCTCAAGTAACGTTAACTCCGCTGACATCAAATACCGGTTAAGTATGTTGTAAACTACTATACAAACACAGCAACTCTATTATGAGAGTGAAAATAAGAGCAATACATAATAACCCGCAATGTTTGACAAAATATTGATATAATTTTTGGTCAACAATTCTTGAGATGATTTGTTTTGTGATTAAATCTTTCTCTCTTTTAATAGATCCCACTCTTCAATGAAAAAAATCACTTCAAACGCCAAACGTATATATCTTTTGCATTGGGTTTGAAGTGCCGTTTAAATTGTCATAAGATTGTTGTCCGCCAATGGATAATGTCTTTGAGTGCGATATTAATATATTTGCCATCAGATTATGTATTTACGAGTTGTATATACTTTCAACGGTTGAGCATTAATAGTGAGTTCTTTCGATAATTATAGTTATTATTTATGATTAAAACTTTTAATTAATTTTTTATATTTATAATGAATAAGTTCTCCCAAATAAATTATCTTGAGCATTTATTCGCTGTTCGTTTGAGTGATTGTTTTCTCTCGTAATTGTCAATTGACTGCTATTTTTTCGCACATATTAATAGTCTTTCCCTAAAAATACATTAATTTAAACGACAAATAGAAAAGATTGGATAAATTGAATGAATAGAAAAAATATAAGAAAGAGAGAGAAAAAGCACATTAATTAATAGCAACAGAATATTCTGGCAAAATAATAACCGACAATAAATATCATATCAAATATTATATTTATAAGTGTATGACATGTGTTGGGAAAATACATCGAAACACTCATTATTGTAATCATTGAAACACTTATTATATGCAATACAAAAACACAGAATATTCTGTGTTATACACGTTGACAACAACAAAAAATAAAGTGCATAACATATATATAATCAATATTATTATCAAACATAATATACATTAAATGCTAAAACACATAAAGTGTGTATAAAATACAGTGAAATTGTGTGTAAAGTAAAGTACAGTATATAAACACTACAATATGTACGGTATGTGTATATATTGTATGCAATTTCTGTTATATTTGTTATTCAAACAAAACACAAGACGTTAAAACATAATCATAAAAATAACTAAGAATTGTATATAATTTGTATTCAAAGTAAATTTGCTCAAAGAAATAGTTATTATTATTTTTTTTGCTATTATTGTATACACGATATAATAATATATTTAACACACATTTCACAACAGCAATCAAACATGTATTGAGAAAATAGTATATAAACAAAGAATTGAAAGAAAAAATAACTAAAATATTAAAATAGATGGTAAAACATAGAGAGAGAGAGAGAGAGAGAGAGAGAGAGAAAGAGAGAGAATCGATTTTTACCATCATAGAAGTTGAGCGCCGTATAGAAGGGGGAGACATATGTTGCCAATGGCACAAAACTAACTGCACAGCACTTGGCGACTGTACAGCACTGGCGCTACAGAGAGACAGTACGGCGACTATAGTTGGGCGCAAAATCAGACCAGAATATTCTGCGCCCATTGATATCGTGTCGCAAATGTGACATAAAAAACCACCCTCTTTGGCGAGCACATAACTCAGTGTGTTAAAGGCAGTTATGACAACATAATGTATGGTCACGAGAGAACCTTTCAGCACGGCTATATATCTGTGTATATATACTGTATATCTATTCATCTCTCAAGACATCAATGGATTAGCCGATTGTAAGTGTGTTTTGAAATTACTTTTGATTGCAATTTTAATTCATTGAGTATTGGTATTGATTGCAATACCGATTAAGTGTTGGTGAAAAGCAAACACATATTTTTATATATTTAATGCATTAACCGATTTAGTATTTTATTTTATCGGTCAACTTAAATAGATGTTTTATTTTTTATGCGATTAATATATTATAAGTTAGATTATGATATGTTTCTGTGTTGTGTTGGGTTTGGGTTAGGGATTGATGTTATGGACCACACCATAGGATTGATACAACACAATCATATCATATAATTTCTTATGTGACACACAATTCAATACATTGAGTGAAATATTTTATTGATTTTTATTTGTGATTCGTTTTTCCCTATTATTTATACATCAAAAATCTGAAACAAGTTTTGCCTTTTATTTTCTTATTATTTGTATTTCTATGTATTCACCCCCTCCTTCTCTCT